TAGATCACAAAATACTCTTGGATCGACTACAAAACTACACTGGTGTTCAGGGACAGGCATTAAGCTGGTTCAGATCGTACTTATCGGACCGTTACCATTTTGTTTGTTTAAATGGGGAAAAATCGAAGATAACGTCAGTAGACTATGGAGTGCCGCAAGGATCGGTGTTAGGCCCTCTGCTATTCTCAATATATATGCTGCCACTTGGTAATATTATAAGAAAACATGGAATTAATTTCCACTGCTATGCTGATGACACTCAATTATATATTTCATCACGACCAGATGAAAACACTAACTTATCTAAATTGACAGAATGTCTTAAAGATATAAAATGCTGGATGACGTGTAATTTCCTGCTATTAAATCCAGATAAAACGGAGGTATTACTTATTGGTCCAAAAAATTACCCATAAAATCTCTTACAATACAACTTTAATTTAGAAGGATGTCCTGTTACCTTATCGACTACAGTAAAAGACCTGGGAGTTATACTAGACCGAAACTTGTCTTTCGAAAATCATATTTCATATGTTACAAGAACTGCCTTTTTCCACCTTAGAAACATTGCTAAATTACGTAACATGCTATCTGTTTCTGATGCAGAAAAGTTAGTTCATGCATTCATGACCTCGAGACTAGATTACTGTAATGCTTTATTAGCTGGTTGTCCTGCATCCTCAATAAACAAGCTACAGTTAGTGCAAAATGCAGCCGCTAGAGTTCTTACTAGGTCAAGAAAATATGATCATATAACACCGATTCTATCATCTCTGCACTGGTTACCTATTAAGTTCCGTATCAATTACAAAGTACTACTACTGACCTATAAAGCCCTAAATGGTTTAGCTCCTGTGTATTTAATGGACCTTCTATCGCCCTACAATCCATCGCGTTCTTTAAGATCCCTAAATTCAAGGCTTCTGGTCATTCCTAGGATATCTAAGTCCACTAAAGGAGGGAGGGCGTTCTCACATTTAGCTCCTAAACTCTGGAATAGCCTTCCTGATACTGTTCGTGGCTCAGACTCGCTCTCCCAGTTCAAAACTAGATTAAAGACGCATCTCTTTAGCCAAGCATTCACATAATGCTTACCTTCTATTGTTGAATCAGATCGAATGCACTAATATTATGAACAGCAGCTACGCTAATTATTTCCCATCTGCTTTTCTGCTGTTATCTCGGGACGCTAGTCCCGAGGTAAATAGCGTTCGTCAGCTCCAGTTTGTATCCAGACTCTCACGGAGACTTCAGATGCCCCAACACCTGCGATGAGACGACTCGACGCCTGTGAAGAGACGACTCAACGCCGGCGATATGTTATGCCCTAAATTAGTACATGATGACTAACTAACTATATTCTTCTATGTACATTTCTGAAATGCACTTTCTGTAAAGCTGCTTTGAAACAATATGTATTGTGAAAAGCGCTATACAAATAAATTTGAATTGAATTGAATTGAATGCGCATAACCGTGCGCGCTCTATACGAACCCAACACAACAGCAAGTGAAGAAGACGAAGATGGCCATAATTATGTTGTCCATAATCACTTGTTGCTCACCGTAGTAGCATAGGAGCAGAAGATTTTGCTGTAGTAAACTTGATAGGCTCAGTAGCTTCTCCAGCACGAACACAAGCATATAGTCCGCCATTGTTGTTGCTTTTTTTTTTTTGCCATTGTTGTTGCTGTTACATGTGACGTAGCGGTGTGTGACTACTGCTGACACGTGGTGTGATGACATCATCGTTTCACAAAATGTACGGATTGGCCGTACACACGAAAACGCAAGGGTGTCATTTTCAGATTTATCCACCCTGGGACGCGGTTTCAAAAAATAGCGGTTTCGGTGTCCTAAAACGCCGGATTCGTCTGGACGAAACGCCAATACGATAAAAAAAATTGTACGTATACAGGTACACGCGTCTCCGTGTGGACAGGCCCTAAGTCAGTGTCAATAGTCTGCTAACAGGAGCCATCAAGTCTTTTAGCGTTGTGGCTCTTCCTCAAGACATCCGTCAAGCATCCACCCTTCTCTCATTCAAAAACCCTTTTCTTTTGAATATTACTCTTCAGCTCGTCTGTAAATTCTACCTTATTATATGTTGTTTGTTTTAATCCCTCTTTGTTTGTATCTTTAACCTAACTTTGTAAGTGAACTCTGTATATTACTTTCTGCTCTTGGTGTGTGTATTGTTGATTTTGTTCTATTCCTTAACCCAGTACGGTCCTCGAGAGTTCCCCATGAGGCCTTTACCCCCTCTCTGCAGTCACACCTCTTTCAGTGAGGGACAATATTTGCCCCCTTAAATCGATATTTCCAGTGCATTTTTCAACTTTATTAAATATTATGTTTTAAATAAATAAAAAAATTCAATAGAGAAATATGCAATGATTGTAAAAACGAAGTGACGCTTTTAAAGTCCCCATGAAATCAAAATTGACCATACTTACTTTGTTTGCTTAAATTGATCGTTTTGTGGTGAACAATTCATCCATGCAAGTCAATTCACACAAAAAAATTTTTTGGCTCCGTAATCTTTAATCAAAATCTGAAAATTCCCCTCCCCTCTGCATTGGAGGACCTTCCCTGATGAAGTGGGTTTGACGGTTTGGGTGTCTGCTTAACATCCGTAACCACGCCCCTCCAACTGACAGTAGACAGGCTGAATGAAAACACCTACTTTTCTAGATCCAATCAGGTGCTAGTTGGAAAAAAAGCCACGCCCACTATTTTGCCTCATTTAGTATTCCGTTTCTCTCGGAAATGCGTCACAACACTGGAGAAAAGTCGTTTGCAACTTTCGGTTCACGGGGACTTTAAATATTAAATTAAATCCGCCAGTAGGGGGCGGCAAGCCACTGTCTTTATGAGTGAGTCATCGAGTCATTTATTCATAATTGTGAATGAATCATTGACTCTCACGATTTGTTCAAAGCCGCAGATTCGTTTCCCAATCACCGCTGTGCTGCAGTTCTGCTGTAGCTCTCGAAAAATAAGGACAATACAGTGTTTAAAATGAACATCACTTAATATTAATACCTATCGTTTGTTGAACTGTTGTATAAAATCAATAGCTATGTTTCCATCCACACGTTTTTATCCGCATTAAGTGATATCGAATGAAAAATGCCTTATGGAAACAGTAAAATTCGATTGAATTTCATGAATATCGACGCAAATGAAATACGATCGGTCTCATCGGATTTTATCTTGATCGATATACGGCTTATGCGATAAACGCGGATGGAAACGTTATTATGGTGCGATCCATTTTGCCTAGTAAAACTTTGTTCGCAAATGTTGGCTTGAATGTTGTGCAATTCGGTGAGAAAATTAATGGAAACACCTTAACATGTCTCAAATCAATTCGATATACCAATTTGATCGCAAAACAGCATGTGACGTCATTACGCACAGGTTTTTATCCGCTTTAAAGCCATTTGATGGAAACACACTTTTGGCGCTTTTCCACTACACAGTACCAGCTCGCCTCGGCTCGGCTCGGCTCGACTCGACTCGCCTTTGTTTGGTTTTCCACTGTGTAAAAGTTGTACCTGTACCTGCTTTCGGGTACTTTTTTTCGTACCACCTCCGGCGAGGTTCTAAGCGAGCTGAGGCGAGCTAAGGCGATACTAAAATGTGACGTGAAAACAATGCCGACTGCTGATTGGTCACAGAGAATCTGCGTCATCATTGCACGCGCCAGATGGAGTATCCAGAATAACCCCGCCATTTTTAAATAGTTTGGCCAGAGATAGTTACTAAACTTACTACTATTATTATGGCAACTCGGAAGAATACGCCGTGGTCAAACGAGGAGGTGCAGACATTCCTTTGTTTGGTTGCCAAAGAGAGGATCCAGCGAGAGCTTGATGGGGCAACGAGGAACGAAAGGCGTCGCTATGACGACCGGGTACTATTTGTGGCGGTACTTTCTGCAATGGAAAACGGAGCGAAAAGCGAGTCGAGTCGAGTCGAGCTGGTACTGGTAATGGAAAAGCGCCATTTCACCAGCTTTATTCGCATGAGGTTTTTTACCGAACTTCAGATAATTCGATTGACAAGTGGATGGAAACATGGCTAATGTCACATTTGAAATGGTGTGGATATTCGTAATGTGATCAACATTATACATTAAATGGTATTTAATAATTACATTCAGTCCTGCGGGAACAGATTCGGTTTGTTTGCAGATTCGATGTGCGTTCACGCGCTCTGCTCACGGACTTCGGGTTCGCGTGCGACGTGCGTGCATGTGAGTGATTCGGAAATTGAGTTGCTATGGCGATGCGTGTTATGAATTCTGACTGCAAATATCAACACTTTGATCGCTGTCTGCTGGTTGAGAGACGAGGCGATTTCAGAGACTTTTGCTGAATATTTTCTGCTGATCTTGATATTTTGAAGCTGTTTGGAGGATTTCAGAGAGGAGACTTTTATTCTAGAAGGAGATCGGATAATATATCCTAGCTAACGTTACATCGTTTTATTTTTTCATAGTTCATATTATTTCTGAGAACTCTTTAATTTGATTGTTCTTTTCTTATTTTAGAGGGAGTTTGGAGTTTCATTTCATTTATTTATTTATTTGTTTTTTGGGGGGGAGGGGGAGGCTATTCCTGAGTAGCATTGTATTTTATTGTATTGTATTTTGTATTGTATTTGTATTGTTTTTTTGCAGTTTGAAGGAGGATGCCAGGCCCGACCCGGACACAGAGCCAGGAGCTTATTCCTGGATATTTAACACCTCTGTCTTGTGAGTATGTTTCTGTGTCCACAGGTCCGGCTCACAGGGAGAGAGAGTGGCAGAGAGACAGCCAGCAGAGCCCAGATGATGGACGTCCGTCCACTTCATCTCAACACTCTCGCAGAGGTCCGGCACTGAAGAGAAAGCTCAGTTCTAGCGCTCAGGTGTCCGACTCCCATCACAGCGCATCCTCAATATCCAGCACCCATGCGGCTGAACACCATCAACCCGTCAGTGCTGGTGCTGAGGAAGAGGAGATGCCAATGAGGAAGAGGAGGAGGATGGAGAGTTTTGTGAAGCTTCATTACTGTGACTGGAGCGACATCATCTCAGACCAGAAAACTGCACCGATACATGAGAGAAGAGCTGAGGGTAAATCAAATGACCATTGGAGAATATAATTAATTACCATAATGACCACACCATATTATATCAAAACACAACTGAAGTTTGATCAAGCCAATAATCAGATTTATTTTTTATTCCAAGACATGTCATGACATATTTAAAAAGGATTGTTTAAAAAATAAAACAAATTGACAGAAGAATACCCATAATATGAGTATCCAATGTTTAATAATTATAATTATTAGTTTGAAACATGCTTTTGTCTGATATATTCCCTGCTTTAGATCAGAATGGTGTCCAGTCCAGTGCCTGTGCAGCAGAGGATCATGGTCTTCAGGCTCTATCCAGTGGTGTTGAAGATCAGCAGGTTCAAACCCCTCCAGCTCCAGTCCACCACAGTCCAGCTCTTCTCCAGGAATGCTTTAAGGTATTGGCCCTATAAGCTACAACTGAATATATTAACATTTGGAACATTAGTTTTAAATGTTCTTTGTTTATTGTGATATGGGAATAAATGAAGGTGAAATCTCTTGTGTGTGCTCTATGTATATCATCAGCCTGTTCGTGAGGAAAGTGCTAGTCAGGAGAGAGTGAGGAAGAAGAGTAGTTGTGTAGATCTGCTGTCTCTCCACTGGAGTTCTGGAGAGCATCTCTCTCTTCACAGCAGTGGCTCAGGTCAGGAGAGAGCGAGGAAGAAGAGTAGTTGTGTAGATCTGCTGTCTCTCCACTGGAGATCTGGAGAGCATCTCTCTCTTCACAGCAGTGGCTCAGGTCAGGAGAGAGCGAGGAAGAAGAGTAGTTGTGTAGATCTGCTGTCTCTCCACTGGAGTTCTGGAGAGCATCTCTCTCTTCACAGCAGTGGCTCAGGTCAGGAGAGAGCGAGGAAGAATAGTAGTTGTGTAGATCTGCTGTCTCTCCACTGGAGTTCTGGAGAGCATCTCTCTCTTCACAGCAGTGGCTCAGGTCAGGAGAGAGCGAGGAAGAAGAGTAGTTGTGTAGATCTGCTGTCTCTCCACTGGAGATCTGGAGAGCATCTCTCTCTTCACAGCAGTGGCTCAGGTCAGGGGCAGAAAGTGGAGGATCAGACCACTGACACCATTAGTGAGAGACACGCCGAGGGTAAATCCAGTGACCAGTCGAGGATGTGGAAATGCTCTGTTTATTAGTGCTCTGTACATCAGAAAGTCTACATATGATAGATATGAGTGTCCATTAATGGAAACGTGTCATTCATGGGAACTTAATTCATTAAGGGAATTTGTCCCTCGGATGAAGTGCCATTAATTACCATATGTCACAAATTCACACCGATATCAAAATCCAAAAGTTTGATCAAAGTTATGATTTTTTCCAGGACATGTCTTCAATATTTAAACAGAACTTTTATTTTTTAAATCAGAGGATCATGGTCTTCAGGACGCTGTATCCAGTGGTGTTGAAGATTAGCAGGTTCAAACCCGTCCAGCTCCAGTCCACCACAGTCCAGTCCGTCCAGCACCGGCTCACAGCAACAGAGCGGACGTGACAACTGAGGGTGAGTGACGGCCATGACCTCAAACATTAAACTCACGGCTGTCCATGACACTAAAATGAATCATCTTTTTGCAGACGACATTTTGAGCCGGTATGAAATGGGCAGAATGCTTGGTGAGGGATCGTTCGGCTCTGTTTATGAAGGGAAACGCTTGGAGGACGGCCTTGAGGTGTCTGCATTTACTTACAATATTTAGCCAACAAATTATTTTGTCTCACTATTTCCATTTCAAGTCTTTTTGTGGATATTTTCCCACTATTTACTGCATTTGACATGTTAGAAAAGTAACGTTTTTTTTTTTTTTGGTTGATCAGGTGGCAGTGAAAATTGCCAGAAAGCCGCAGAACATGAAATACATCTACATTGTAAGTCGGCTACACTCACTATGTTGTTTTCAAATGAAAATATGTAAACATAATGACAACACCTTCATATAACAATGATCTTTGTTCCAGCCTGGTCATCCCGCACCCGTCCCGCACAAGGCTTGATTACTGCAATTCCCTGTATTTGGGCATTAACCGTGCACCACTCAACCGCCTGCAAATGGTTCAGAATGCAGCTGCTAGGCTCCTTACTGGAGTGCGCAAACGGGACCATATTACTCCGGTTCTGAAGTCACTGCACTGGCTCCCTATTTGTTACAGAGTTGATTTTAAAGTAGTGATGTTGGTTTTTAAATCCTTGAATGGATTGGCCCCTTCGTATATGACTGATCTTCTATCCAGTTATAACTCTGGAAGGTCTCTTAGGTCATCCAACCAGAGACTGTTAACTGTACCGCGGACCAGATTAAAAACGAGAGGAGATCGAGCTTTTGCTGTCGCTGCACCAAAACTTTGGAACAGCCTCCCTGTCCCTGTCAGAACTGCTTCTTCACTGCTCGAGTTTAAAGCAAAACTTAAAACGTATTTTTTTTCTTTGGCTTATAACTGTAGCTGATGTGTGCTGTGTTTGGTCTGTTTTTATTCCGTGTGTAATCTATGTTGTACTCGGTGCGAAATGTTGATGATGTTTGATGTACAGCACCTTGGTCAACAAATGTTGTTTTTAATGGTGCTATATAAATAAATCTGAGTTGAGTTGAGTTGAGTCCCATTAGAGATCGGCCTATTAACCCTTGCTAATAGCGGCCCCAAAGTCTCCGAGATCATTGAGCTGCTGGACTGGCAGGACCAGCCTGACCAATACATCATGGTCTTGGAGCGTCCCGCACCCTGTAAAGATCTGTGGTTCTGGAACGGTCACGAAGGCATCCTAAATGAGGACACAGCACGGTTTATTATGGCGCAGGCAACAGTGGCGGCTCAGATGTGCTGTCGCCGTGGAGTGTTTCACCGGGATATTAAGCTGGAGAACCTGCTGATCAACACAGAAACTCTTGAGCTCAAACTGATTGACTTCGGGTGCGGGGATCTCCTGCAGGAATCTGGCTATGAACGATTCTGTGGTATGAATTATGAATCAAACCTGTAGTTTGGGACTTTAAGCTACACTGTGTAACTTTTTTAGTTTATTCTTAGCTAAAAACACTTAGTTCTTTCAAAAATATATGTGCTCATTAATGTATATTTACTTTGTTCAAGTAATAAAGTATTCTCGTGAGTGTATAATATGCCATTGAAAATACATACGGGTGAGGGGTTCTAATGTCGGTCGCCATGTTGCCCCTCCATCTTGAAAGTACATTAGCCAAAGAGGGACGTACCCGTTAATTCAAGCTTCGCCTTTCGCGTTTTAACACTCGATGGCACCGTGTCGAATGTCATATAAATAACCTATATGTTACCTGACAAATTAAATTACTGCAAATTATAATAGTTTTCTAAAATAACCTCATCACTTGAAGGAACACTCATGGACGAGGTTGAACTGGAAGCCATGTTAATCTTGGACTACATTGGCCACTGTAGGAGTTAAAACGAAATCGGAATTGAGAGGAACAGAAACTAATATTCACTGGATGGTCATATACCTTTTCACCGCTAGATGGGGGTAAAAATCACACAGTGTAGCTTTAAGTTAGTGACTAGTTCAATCGGTGTCATATAAACCATATCTCACATTTGAGGCAGCATTTTTTTAAATGAAAAACACCAGATGTTTTAAGCACATGCTCTGGTATTTCATACTCTGGTTCAATATGGAAGAATTAATTGGACTTTAATATTTGTAACCCACAGAAGACAGTCTACAAATGTGTACAATGATGCGCAAATATTTCACTATCTGCAAATGTGTATATTTACATTTGTGATACGTAAAATCATATCCACAAAAATACAGGGTGATGTGTACAACACAAAACTGTTTTTACACATTTGCAGATTACTTCCTGTGAATTTGTGGGTCACGTTACATTTGTAAGTTCCTTTTTTACACATTTGTGGAATTTTGTCCAATGTGTACTGCAGAGATCTGTAAATAAACATATACACAAATATCTCACAACCTAAAACATGTATTTTTACATTTGTGTTGTGTAAAATCATATTCACAAAAATAATGTGTGATTTGTAAATACACACAATTTAATCTGTACAAATATCTTTTTATTTCACATACAAAGTGTGATTTACGCTTTTGTGGATCCATTTCTACACACAAAACTGTTTTTACGCATTTGTGGATTGCTTCCGGGCAATTTGCAGGTCACGTGACATTTGCAACTCCTTTCTACACATTTGTGGATTTTTGTCCACTCTGTCCCGCTGCGATCTGCAAAAAGAGATTTGTAAGGCGTACGTGTGAGAGCAGTTAATTAGCCACACCAGCAGGTGGCGGTAGCGACAACCAGAGTAAAGATGGTTTGCAGTTTGATATTCTGATTTATTTTAGCTGTGGTCCCACAGTGCGGTGTCGTAGACATGCAAATAATATCTCTTTTCGATATTCGTGATTTGTGAATTCGTGTAACGGGTTACTCCTGTCCGAAATCAGTGTTTTTTTTTCTTCTGAATTTTCTGGGTATAGCTCCAAAAGTAGGTCACTTAGAAACCTGAACCCAGTGTCATCTTGACATTCTAGATTTGTGAATTTTTTCACAGCAAAGCTTTTGTCTGTAAACTGTTCGCTAAGTCCGCTAGACCGGAATGTGGAAAATGGGCGTTTTTCATGTTTAACAATGTATAATACCAAATTATAAAAATAAAAAAACACACACCGCTGGTTTACAAAAACACTTGTTTTAGATTAAGCTTGATTTGTGAAAACTTTCACAGGACAGTTTGGGTCAGTTAACTCTTCCCTGAGTGGTTAACTTGGTCATTCTGATTTGTGAAAACTTTCACAAGTCAGTTTGGGTCAGTTAACCCTTCCCTGGGTGGTTAACTTGGTCATTCTGATTTGTGAAAACTTTCACAAGTCAGTTTGGGTCAGTTAACCCTTCCCTGAGTGGTTAACTTGGTCATTCTGACTTGTGAAAACTTTCACAAGTCAGTTTGGGTCAGTTAACCCTTCCCTGAGTGGTTAACTTGGTCATTCTGATTTGTGAAAACTTTCACAAGTCAGTTTGGGTCAGTTAACCCTTCCCTGAGTGGTTAACTTGGTCATTCTGATTTGTGAAAACTTTCACAAGTCAGTTTGGGTCAGTTAACCCTTCCCTGAGTGGTTAACTTGGTCATTCTGATTTGTGAAAACTTTCACAGGGCAGTTTGGGTCAGTTAACCCTTCCCTGAGTGGTTAACTTGGTCATTCTGATTTGTGAAAACTTTCACAGATCAGTGTGGGTCAGTTAACCCTTCCCTGAGTGGTTAACTTGGTCATTCTGATTTGTGAAAACTTTCACAGGGCAGTTTGGGTCAGTTAACCCTTCCCTGAGTGGTTAACTTGGTCATTCTGATTTGTGAAAACTTTCACAAGTCAGTTTGGGTCAGTTAACCCTTCCCTGAGTGGTTAACTTGGTCATTCTGACTTGTGAAAACTTTCACAAGTCAGTTTGGGTCAGTTAACCCTTCCCTGAGTGGTTAGCTTGGTCATTCTGATTTGTGAAAACTTTCACAGGGCAGTTTGGGTCAGTTAACCCTTCCCTGAGTGGTTAACTTGGTCATTCTGACTTGTGAAAACTTTCACAAGTCAGTTTGGGTCAGTTAACCCTTCCCTGGGTGGTTAACTTGGTCATTCTGATTTGTGAAAACTTTCACAAGTCAGTTTGGGTCAGTTAACCCTTCCCTGAGTGGTTAACTTGGTCATTCTGACTTGTGAAAACTTTCACAAGTCAGTTTGGGTCAGTTAACCCTTCCCTGAGTGGTTAACTTGGTCATTCTGATTTGTGAAAACTTTCACAAGTCAGTTTGGGTCAGTTAACCCTTCCCTGAGTGGTTAACTTGGTCATTCTGATTTGTGAAAACTTTCACAGGGCAGTTTGGGTCAGTTAACCCTTCCCTGAGTGGTTAACTTGGTCATTCTGATTTGTGAAAACTTTCACAGATCAGTGTGGGTCAGTTAACCCTTCCCTGAGTGGTTAACTTGGTCATTCTGACTTGTGAAAACTTTCACAAGTCAGTTTGGGTCAGTTAACCCTTCCCTGAGTGGTTAACTTGGTCATTCTGATTTGTGAAAACTTTCACAAGTCAGTTTGGGTCAGTTAACCCTTCCCTGAGTGGTTAACTTGGTCATTCTGATTTGTGAAAACTTTCACAAGTCAGTTTGGGTCAGTTAACCCTTCCCTGAGTGGTTAACTTGGTCATTCTGACTTGTGAAAACTTTCACAAGTCAGTTTGGGTCAGTTAACCCTTCCCTGAGTGGTTAACTTGGTCATTCTGATTTGTGAAAACTTTCACAGGGCAGTTTGGGTCAGTTAACCCTTCCACTTGTAAAAACTTTCTAGCCATTAGAAATGGCACCACAGAAAGAACAACGTGTGTCTATATCTGACTTAAACCTTTCAAAAAAGCTTTAGCAGGGTAAAATTTGTGTAATAATTTGAATGAAATTTCTCTAACCTTATTAGTTATGTATTTCAAAGGCAGAGTCCATACTTTTTTCCAATCAATATGGTCAACCAAATTCATCCAATATGACGCCACATATGGTATTGCTACAAGCTCCTTTTGAAAGAGATCTAATTCTATAATAACGTGATGAAGGATGTGACAAAACACAGTTTTCCTACTGGGAGTTCAAATGGGTTTTTATATGTCAACACACTTCCAAAACATTTACTATGATTTACTAAATTTTTTTGGTAAAACATTTTTACTCTTAAAAATATTGATTCAATTTTAAAGCAGTGAAATCAATTACATACCACTGTATGAACTGAGTAAATGAAGGCCTAAGTAAAAAAATGAAAGGGTTAGTTCACCCAAAAATGAAAACTCTGTCAGTAATTACTCACCCTCTCCCTCATGCTGTTCCAACCCCGTAAGACTTTCGTTCATCTTCGGGACACAAATTAAGATATTTGTAATGAGGCAGTAGGGGTGCTTTTTAACTGCGCTTGACTACGCCACTCCAATTTAGTTCGGGTAGGAGATCC